TAAAATTTCTATTCTGAGCCCCCATCACACCGGGCTTGTCATTGTTAGGATTCCACCTCTCTACCTGCCTCAGTCTCTCCAATGCTTGTGTGAAGGTTCTCTGGAGTTTGCAGGATTACTCCACACTAGTTAGCATGCCTCACCCAGACATCAGGGAAACACTACCCTGCAGCCATGAATTCAGGAATGCCCTTGGACCAGGCTGTGATAGTCAGAACAGTCTGAAAGTAAAAGATGTTTATGCTTGAATATCCTATACCCGGCAAACATTATGTGACGCAAAGTTCCTATGTGGCTCAGAGGAGGAGGTGGTCTCCTGCAGGGCAGCTCCACCCTTGTACATATAAGGCTGATCCTAGAGAGAACTGGTTATCTTCCAAAAGGTATGATGTGCCCCCTCACTAATTCAGACAGGATCATCCACAACCGTGCAATCTGCTGGTAAGGCTTCAGGACCACCAAGCTATCCGTTTATGTGTTGGTGTCTCCACTGCGTGTCCTTGGCTGATTTTTTTCGCCCTTAAATAAGCAACCATTGTTTGATTTACTCAGGAGGTACATGCATCTGGTCTTACCATCAACTGGTGCCCACCGCTGCCATCTGTCCATAGAATGTCAGTGCAGGCCTCCTAGAAACCCCTGGATCAAGTCAAAACAGAAGGTAAAGCCTGCCTTTTGCTTGAACACAACAGGTGCTCCATAAATGCCGGTTGAACTAAGGACCCAGGCTCTAATAAAAGAAAAACATTGAGAGGGCGTGGACAGGGCATTTTGGAAAAAAGGCACAGAAAGCCACGCCAATTCATCCAAGTGCAAAGCAGACAAGTGAAAGGACCTCATGGAACTCCCATGGAAACAAAGTACAAAAAGCAGAGCTGAGCCTCACAACTCAAGCAGCGGCTGTGTGTCCCTCCCTCTGGGGGATCACGTGACTCCACGCTGCAGTGTCTGTGTCGCGCTTCATTTCTTCTTTCTTGGCCCATCCCGGACCTTTGCCCCATTAGCACATGGCCCCCTCAGGTCGCCCAAAGAGGAGCCTCTGCTTATTTCTGGGAGAAAGGTTAACGGCTCACCTTGGGGGAAGCAGGGAGCGAACAACCTACAGTGGGTGTTAACACCCGCATGGGGGGCTGCTGTACAGGACGAGGATCATCCCTACTGACGATAAACACAAACTCTGCTGGGTGACGTGATACCCCCCAAGAAACTAAAGATCATGCATAAGTACTAATCGTAACACCTTTATTTCAGAATGTCTACAGGATTGAATTTCACAGCTATACAACTAATTGATAGGGTACACGGTGAACCAGAAATACTTTTATCCTGCACAAAAACGTGGCCTGAGAAATGTTCATTTGAATTTACTTACATTGCACATTATACAACTGTACATATAAAAACACGAACACAGTTGGGGGAGACAACGGCTTCTAGATCAAAAGACATCATCTGTAGCAACATCTCACTTACCTTGAGGTCAAAGATTTGACAAGTGTAGTCGAGAAATCAGGAAGCTATAGGAAAATAGAAAAATCCCATCACCAGATCAATGCAGCAACATTCATTCGTTTTACTTATTCTCAGGAAAGCCCCTCAAAGCCTCACTCAGATCCTGATTAGTGTTGAGACCTACAGTAGGCAGTGACATGAGTTCCCAACCCCGGACAGAACGAGAGGAAGTTTCCTAGAGGCAGGCGAAGGTATCCACGGCAGAGCTCAAAGAGCAGAGCCATTCGGTGGAGGGGCTTTAACAAACCCAAAGGGGGCCTGAAGCAATGAAAAACATAAAGGATGACCTTCAAATTTTTTCATTATTTTTAGTAGATTGTTCACAAAAGCAGGGAAATGTACACTAAGAGTTACAATGTAAATGGCTCAAATAAAGAAAAAAGACGTGTAACTGAAAAGAACAACCTTGACTTGTCGACACCGTGTACCCTACAATGTCTGACACATGGGATATTATTACCACACATATACTGCTTATAAAATACACAATTTATATAAAAAGAATACAGCACCCTTTTTGTCCACATATGATTGAAACCATAAAAGCCCCTTCATGGTAAAAGCACCTCAATCACATAGGGATAGCCTCAGTCAGCTTATCTCTACATTAAGAACCTTATATTGTGTCCTGAGCAGTCAATTCTATTGATCAGTGGGCCCAAATGATTGCAAAATCTTTTTACATGAAAGGAGACACAGAAGGCAACGACACGGCCCCTTGAAATCAGTGTTTCTCAAAATACGATCTGTGGAACAGCACAACTGAATTTCCTGGTGAATTCGCTTTAAAATGTAGATCCCCCAGTCCCAAGTGAAGTTCCTTGAATCATAATCTCTGGGGGAAGGTCTGGGAGCCTACAGTTTAGCACTCTTCCCCGAGGATTTCTAGTACAAGTAGAAGTGTGGGAATCACTCTACAAAATCATCGCCTTGAAGTGTAGGCTCAGGGGTGCCCGGCTGGCTCAGTTGGTTAAGGGTCTGACTCTTGATCTCAGCTCAGGTCTTGATCTCAGGGCTGTGAGTTCAAACCCCATGCTGGGCTCCACGCTATGTGTGGAGCCTACTAAAAAAAAAAAAAAAAAAATGAAGTGTAGCCTCAGCCACCCAGTCAGGAGGTAACTGGCCAGGCCTATGAATTAACCCCTTCCCACACTTGTTCCTAATATGCCCAGTAAGGCGGTACTACTCCCGGTTTTGACATTTCTAATTAGTCTTATCACAGGAAAAGGATTCTGACATATAATAAAAATAAACTCTAACAAGCTCTAATTAATTTTAAAAAGAGCATAAGATTTCTAAGCCATATATGTGGAGTTCAAAGCAATGGATGCCTGCAGAGTGTTTAAGAAAAAATACTGAGTGACCAGAGGATTTCTTGGGAATGAGAAGAAAATACATCTCAAAGCAGTCTTGTAGGAGAGGCAGAATGCAGCTTACACCCGGAATGGGGAAATGCAAATCTATTAAAAATTGGCTGGGGTGTTTAAGCTAGGCCTTAACACTCTTGAGGGAGAGACTGAAAACTACTGGCAAACACATTTTGTATGGCCGGCAAAATGTTTTAAACAATGCTGAATTATTGCCAACTTATAAAAACTGGGAGAATTCTTTTCTTTAAAAAAAATCTGTCTTTTTCTACCAAACTGGTGGAATCACTAGAAAGGCCAGCCACACGGCCACAGTGTGGAGGACCTGGGCAGCAGCTACCCACCTTTACAAAGGTGTGCATCCCATCTCCCAGCGGCCACCTGCCCGGTGCCCAGAGCCATTTGCACTGGCCACCCCAGCTCCAGGCAATTAGGGCAAAAATTCAGCCTCTCCGTGCTTCACTCTTTCTAGTTCTAACAAAAATGCTTGCTACAAAGATCCTTTCCTACTTTAGAAGTGTTGAGAAAGAAATCAGATAAGGTCTGAAAATCACCTAGAATTCACTCTAGCGTTCTCATCCCTAGCTGCCTATTGGAACCACCTAGGGAGCTTTAGAAAATACGGACACCGGGTTCCTGCCCCCGAGATTCTGCTGTATTGCTCTGGGACGTAACCCCGGGCAGCAGCGGGTGGTGCGTAACGCTCCGCAGGTGGTTCTAATGAACACCCAAGGCTGAGGACTCCTGCCTTCGGAGGATGCACGGTGTTGAGTGTGAAGCAATGAGTTCATTCCAATGTCAGCCTCCAAATATGGATTTCTAACCCCTCACCTTTGTGATAATTTACATCACCTTTTATTTGGTGAAATGGGATATTATTCCAAAAGCCTACCAAATGCCATCTACAAACTGGAAAAGGAAGTCAAAGTGTGTGCTGGTTTCTACCACGCCTTTTCCCTCTGACACACCTGAAGGATGAAACTCTAAAAAAATGAGAATTATCCTAAGGGACAAAACTCAAGCAGCTCAAACAGCTCAAACACAGTAAGAAGCAGCTCACACTGGCAGGCTTGAATGAACAAATAAAATTGTTTTGAAATTCATCACTGCACTAAGTGGAAAAATATTCAAATATTAAAAAAAAAAAGAACGATTTCCCCAAGTCTTTCCAGTAATGGCCCAATTTTTATCTTAAGCAGATAAATTCCAAATTATTGCCTCTCTTCAAGCTTTCTGTTAGGTAGTGTGCATTTATATTTTGGCTTCTAATCACGGGAAATGCAAACTACTGTCACCTAATTTTCAAACAGTAATACGACCCTACAATGCATCTGAAAAGTACATTTTCAAAATGGGTTCACATAATAACGACTTCTACTCTGCAAGAGGTAACATACTGCACTTGATAGACATGATCTCAAATCGGTCCAACAACCTCACGAAGTTAATCCCATAACCCCGTTGGACAATTAAAAAGAAAGAGCTTCAGAAAGATTAAAAATTATGTACATGATCGATCACTGAGCTAGTGGGCGGCAACACTTGCACTCAAACACAGGTCTGTCAAATTCCCACACCTGTGCTTTTCGCACTAAACTCCCCCCCCTTGCCCTTCCGTGTTAAATCATCATGAGACAGAGACATGTGCGCCCAGTTCTCCTGCCTTGCCAGTGAAAAACGGAGAGGCTAACGATCTGCTCCACATCTCACGATGCCAGAGTTACACGCTGCCTCCCCGCTCCCCATGCCATGTTCTTTCAGAAGACCAGATGACCCAGCTGACATGTTACGTTACAGAATCTATACTGATGGCCCTTAGGTAGTACTTATGGGCAGATATCAAATGCTCCCAATTTCTGAGAATCAAACATTGATCTAAATATGGCTTAGCTTCAACCCAGGCCTGGTACATTCCTTTCTGTTGTAGGCCAGCCATGCATCAGGCATCAGCTTCAGCTCCTTTATCTGTCCCAGAATCTTCTCACGAATCCTATGAGCAATGATGCTGATGACATAGGCACATGTACCACTCGCCAGGCCTCTAGCCTGTCCTTGGCTTCCCTGACACCATCACCAGGCAATCAGCAAGACATCCTGAAGAAGGGCAGACGTCACCTTCTATGGGTTTTTTCCTTTATTTGTAAATCATAAAGACACTGTGCCATAAAAATCCATCTAGAAGGTCTCATATCCAAGAGGGCCGCTATCTGAGGCAGGCTCCCAGGGGAGGATATCGTTTCACGTCCTGGCAGGAAGTCCTCCTCTTCTTTAAGCTGCCGACACTGTATCCTGAAGCTTGTATTTGGAAAACTGCACGCGTAGCGATGTGTTATGGCCAAGAAGTGATTCTCGAGCAAAAGTAGCACAACACAGCCCCCCTGCAACAGAAAGCAAACAGGCTTTATCACCTAATAAACATGTCTCGCCAATCAGTACTTATTTGCCTCTTTTCTGAAGCAACTCTTAAAAGTCACTTGAATGCTATCACTATGGATAATTCTTGAAGAAACTGCATTTCTGCTTCCTAATGATCTTTGAACAAAGCTGGCATCTTATTTTATTAAGTCCAGTGACCCAGAGGACCTGGTTCAAAGGGGAGTTATGACAGAGCCAAAGCTGAGGGCTTCATCACTCCAGTGTGAAAGAACTCTGCCGTGTTATCAAACCTCACCAAGCCCAGTCTCGCAACTGCCAGTGGCAAGAACAAACAGATGTCAGGGCTATTTGTTTTATTCAAAAATGACAGGAAATCAAAAATTATCAAATGGATGTGTCAGCTGCAACACCACAAGCATATTGGTTGGTGAGATTTATGTACCTCCATTCTGGCTCATGACAAAATCACCTTCTAAGCTTTCTAATATTCAAATGCCCACATACATACACAGGCCAGAGAGAGTTCTGGGGAGTATCTTGAGGACTGGGCACCACATACAAGGTGGTCACAATCTATGTGAATTTAAATTATGCAAATCTGAAATGCGGTATGATATAAAAATAGTAAATGTCTCCCTATGCAAATTCATCCAAATCCCACAGAATTTTTTTTTTAATTAAGAACTGCAAAATTCTCAAACTGGCAAATTGAGTCTGCTGTACACAGCACCTAGACCTCCACCACATCACAGAGCTGCTTTATCTGCTAAACAAAACGCCTACTTTTCTAGTCCCTTGTGCACGTGCACTGGAACTTCATGAACAATGGTAATGACGACGGTTGCTGCTATTTTAACTTCATTGTTGTGATAATTTCAATGCTTTTTTAGGCCTTAAAATAGAATCATCCGGGTGGTGAGGTTAGAGCTAATACAGAGAAAATAAACTGTCACACTATTAACCTTGAAATACATATCCAATGCCATCTCAAAAAGGCTAAACACCCACCACAAGGCTCCTTGATCATAACTTAGGACGGGGCATATGCTCGAACCTAGGGGACAGAAAGCTTTTCCTTAAAAGACCAGACAGGAAATATTTTAAGCCTTGCAGGAGAGGAGCGCTCTATCACAGCCATTCACTCCGGTGTTGCAGCCCCCCCGTAAGAAAGCCAGAGACATAGCTGTGTTCCAATAAAACTTTATTTACAAAAGCAGATAGCAGGTTGGATTTGGCCTGAGGGCAACAACTCACTGACCCTTCCTCTACAGCCTTAGACCTGATATCTACCCCCTTCCTTTAAATGTGACATTTTATTGCTCATAAAAACATTCTCCCATTTTCCGTAGAGCCAATTTTGAGAAAAGAAGTTCCATTAAAACAGGCATATTTCAAGCTTACCAAAACTCTAATAATAGTGAAGAAAAAAAAGGGAAGCAATAATCTGGCAAAAACACGGCAGCAACATCAAAGCCTTAAAATGTCCTATATCACCTTTTTTACGAAGCTTACATATCTACGTATTTGTCAAAACTCACCAAACTGTACCCTTAAAATTGGTCAATTTAATTGTACATAAATAATACTTCAATAAAGTGGATAGTGAAAAAGTGCTTAAAGCCTCGGCAACAGGCTCTACTTTGGATTAGATTTATGTGGTAAGAGTATATATCCGTTATTTCACATTTGCCCCCCTGGGTCATGAATTAAGAGAGCTTGAATTATGTAAATCCTTCAAAACCTTTGTTGCATTAAATGCCCTGAATACAACTGTCCCACACTAAACTCCTAGTAGTACCCAGACCTCAACCACTTCACTTGAAAGAGAAGAATAAGTAGCTTTTAGAAACAATGCAAAGCCCCGAGTTCATGGCTTAGCTTTCAACCACAGTAAAAACAAAACAAATAAACAAACAAAAAGAGCATGGGTAATTTATGACAATAGGTGAAGCTTGTTGAATTTCCTCATTTCACTTAAAATCAAAGACACAAGTTGGTGTGTCATCTCTGTTCTTTTCAGTTGTCTTTCCTCCAGTGTGGAGCATGTCAGCATTTAAGCAGAAAAAAAAAAAAAAAAGTTAAACAGGACGTGGGTGAGATGCTAAAATCAGGGAAAAGCCATACAAGAAAATCATTCCTCTGATTAATCTAAAGACAACAAAATATATGACAACAATTTGAGAACTCCAGCTATTAGCTTCCTCAGTGCCCTTGTATTTCATCATCTGTCTCCACTCAGAGACAAGACGTTGTTTAAAGCAACTGTTCTCAGTGTGCACCCTGGACCAGCAGCATCAGCATCACCTGGGACCCTGCTAGAAATACAAATCCTCGGACGGCACCGCAGACCTACTGACTCAGAAACTCTGAGAGTGGGACCCACCAATCTATGTTTAACAAATCCTCCAGATGATTCTGATATTCAAGGACGTTCCAAATCATTAATTTGAAGTTTGAAAACCAATGTTTACTTATAAGTGGAGTCCTATCACATTCTCTCATTTAACCTGGAGCTGACCTTAGGAGTAAGATGGAATCCGCACTCAAGTGTGTGAGGTCTAGAGCTACTTGGTGAGCCTCACAAAAATGCCTCAAGAATTTTGTTCAAAGAACAGAGTAGAGGGCGCCTGGGTGGCTCAGTTGGTTAAGCGACTGCCTTCGGCTCAGGTCATGATCCTGGAGTCCCGGGATCGAGTCCCACATCGGGCTCCCTGCTCAGCAGGGAGTCTGCTTCTCCCTCTGACCCTCTTCCCTCTCGTGCTCTCTCTCATTCTCTCTCAAATAAATAAATAAAATCTTTAAAAAAAAAAAAAGAACAGAGTAGATGCAGGAACACAGCATATTTAGATTTTATTTCAACATTTTTGAGCACCTGCCATGTGCTGTGGTTGTGCTAAATGAAATTATCTTATTTAGCCTCCCCAGTCATGAATAAATCTACTCACAGGCCTGGCTAGTGTGTGTTCAATGCCGAAGAACTTGTACATAAATGTTCATTTTGCTTCTTCTTTGGTTAATTGTTCTCAAACTGTATTGTATATCACAATTAGAGTCCAAAGTTGCTTCTCAGATGTTAAAAATCCAAGTCCAATAAATTTGGTAAGAGGCAAATCCATTACACTCATTTATTTTAGGCTCTGGTTCTCTCTTAAATAACTTTGTTCTGTCCTTTCTACTACAGAGATCATTGTCCTTCATGTAGAAAGTAAAAACTTAAGGAAAAAAAAATTAATTCTAAAACCCCCCTGCTACCTGTGACCCCGACAGCATTTGTCCTCAACTAGAGGTGGCAAGTGCCTTTCTGCCATGCTCTATGGACCACACACAGTGCTTGTCACGCACGGCACCCTCACCCAGAGCCCACGAGTATTCTCAAGATGTCAGAACCCTTCTCTATAGCGTTTCAGGTATAGCCACTCCCAACCAGTGGAAGTATTGATGACCAATAAAATATATTTATTTCACTGGCCAATCAAAACATGCCCCTTTCTTGTTTCTCTTTCTGCTTCAAATACAGCTTTTAAACCCCTCCTTTTATTGTTCCCAGAATAAAACTAAGTTTCTGTTAATCCTGAACCACACTCTACAAATCTGTGGCACCTTGAGGGTTGCAATCACGCTGGATTGTGCTGAGCAGTTTAAACAATTTGAATGCAGTTGTAACCCAGCACGTGGTACCAAACTGCTCTGAAAATCAAAGAAACAAAGTAAATGAAGGTGCTGAAGAGATAACAAAACACCTGTGAGACAGTATCCTCTGCCCGTAACTGGGAAATGTACAGCATGAGTAGCCCAGGGAGGCTAATGCATAATACAGGGCTTAAAAGCATGAAAACATGGCTGGAGTAAATAATTCTGATTTTGCTTTCGGTACTCACTGATGATTCTTTATTCGGCTAAGGGGGCACCACACTGTTCCTTCAGCAGCATCTCCATTATTCTAATTCCCTAGAGAGAGAAGAAAGAACCCATCAGAACGCCACAGTTCGTGGACAAACACTTTTACATTCATCACGACCCTTTCCCTTCAAGAAATCCAAGTCGCGGCCCTATACTCATTTCAGAAAAGTAAGCTCATAGTCATACCTTACATTTTTATAGTATTTTCCTCACCAATTTCACATCTATTTTCTCTATGTGGGCTCAGAATTAGTCAAGGGAAGCAGGCACAGGAGAGTTTAGAATCTCCATTTTTAACAACAGAAAACAGGCCAAGAGAAGGTAAGTCACTTCTTGAAAGTGGCCCAGCTGCTAAGGGGCATTGCCAGAGCCGGAATAATAATGGCAATAATGAGTACTTACTGAGCACTTACAAATGCGCTACACTGGCTACCCAGGTTTGCGTGAGCGTGGTCCTGGGTAGTGGGTGCAGGGTGCACCACGGAGACCCCTCCAGCACCTGGGCACCCCTTCCCCACCTGCCAGCACTGGGGGCACAGCCACCCTCAGCCAAAGGTAGCTGCCTTACCTGAGGTCATGTCCCCTCTCCAGGGACCGCCCACACCCAAGGACCAGTGGATATGGGGGCCTAAAGGCCCAGCCTCCTTCCCCCCACTCTGGACAACTGAAGGACACCCCAGGTCTAGAGGTCCCCATGGGATCAGCTGAGACCTTCACTGCTCCATCACCACAGTTCAAAGTCCCCTCCTGTCTGATTCTGTTTCCCCCACTCCCTTGCAAGGGCAGTCACCCTCTGCACAAAAGTCTCTGTCTCTGAGTCTGTGTCCCAAGAGCCAGCCTGGGACACCTAGTTTAATACACACCAAACCCCTGAACAAGTACGATTCTTACTCCCATTTTACAGATGAGGAAACAGTAACTCCAAGAGGTTCAAGCAATTTTTCCAAAATCATACATCTGTTGAGTAACATGGAGGGAAAGAACAGAGCCACTCTATTCTGGCTTCAAAGAGTCCCCTGCCCCTTCTCACGTGCTCAACTCCATGACTGCACATCCCCACCTGTCCACGCACCCACCTTGCCAATCAAAATCTGCCCCGGAGGAAGGAGGACAGCAGATATTCCCTCTTTCCTCCTTCAAGAACAAGTTCTGCAGACCAGGGGATAAACCTTCACATAGAAAGACAGGATGATGATGTAATTATGAGCTAGAGTTTTAAGGAAGTCAGAGCTGGATCTGGGACTGGGGTGAAGTGGGGGGAGGGAATGGGAGACACTGTTCTCAGGGACTAGAAAGTAGTTTACAGGGAATAGGAATGATCTAAGCTAACTTAAAACATAGGTCCCCAGACTGCTCACAGAAACTCTGAATATACAGGACGACCTCAAGCAGGCCCCAGAACTGTGCACTTTAGCAAGCACCCGGGTGATACCCGTGATGGGGCAGGTGTGGTAAACATTGAGGGAGCTACAAGAGAAAAGACTGGGGCTTCCTACTAAGGGTTTATTTTGTGCCACAGCAAGGGAGTGAGCCTCCAGAGAAGACCAGAAAATATATTTAGTGCCAGAGTACACCAAACAAAATGTAACATATCCTCGAGGTTTCAGATGCTCCTTCAGATGGCGGCTAGCCATCGCCACAAATACTGCCCCTGTCCTACAAGGAAGAAGCATCAATGAAAGGGTCCTGACAGAATGCTGAGCAGCACTGAGTGGGGACGAACTACAGCTGCAAACTCTAAGACCAGGAGCAAGGCTGCCGGAGTCGGGACGCCCGGCTTCTGGTCACGGTAGTGCGAAGTTATTCTGCGGTACTTTAGCTGAGTCACTTTTTACAAAGAAGTAACTGAGACTGGGAGCTGAGGGGACAGCAAGGCCAAAGGGGGAGTGCAGCTGCACACCAGAACCAGGAGGGGAACCCACAGAAGCACACAGGGATCCCCATGCCTTACTGAGAGCCGCACCGTCTGCATTTCTGGGGCTGCGGCATGGTACCTGTAAATTTGTAATATACCTCATGTGGTTCTGAAGCCCAACTGGTTCATTTACTAGAATTTGTGAATGGCAGCCTGACACTACCTTGAAGATCCCTCCCAGCCCTGCCAGTCTGAGAATGCATTTCGGAAGATAGGGTAGACACTGCCCTCTGGTACTCTTAGAGCTACTCTCCTTTCAAAGAATTAGGGGGAGGAGGAGGGGAGTGGGGATGAAACCACCAGTGCAATGAAATTTAACCTCATTCTTACCCTAAGATCTAACTGCTCTCATTTCTGCTCTCATTCACTCATCAAGAAATCCACTCAACAAATATTATGCACCTACTGTGTGCACTGGAGATTAAATGGTGAACAAACAAGATAAAGCCCCCGCCAACACTGAGTTTACAATCTAGTAGTTTTCATTCCCCTTGTTTCCATTTATTTGTTTGTTTCAACAAAACCCTGAACAATAACTAAATGCCTTCCTTCTATTTTCAGGAAGAATAAGGACAGCCACGTTGATTCCGCTGCAACCTCCTTTTCGCATAAATCTGGTGGTATGTCTTTAAAAACAGGAAAGCACGCTCCCTCCTTAGGAAGTGAGCACCGGTGAACTCTCCCCAGTCACCTAAGAAGAATGCCACCACTTATGGAGCTGAACACTAATTGACATAAGTGAAGACTTTGAGGTTTGCCTTGAGAATTGAAAGACATTATTTATTGAATCAATTATGTTCACAATGTGACAGTTGATTTTTCTTTCCCTTTTTTCCCCCTTCTCTCATACCACTTTAGTCTTTTTAAGGAGAACAGTTAGAAATAGAAGGTGGAGAACAGAGGCAGAGAGAGAGAGACCTCTAAAGTGAATTAAAAAAAAAACCCTAACAGGGCGGCCAAACCATTATTTAGTACCTCTCTTTAGTATGAAGGGACCAAATAAAAACCCAATCGATGGAGTCCTTTCAAATAAAGTTCCAATGCTTAAAACTCAACCCCTAGGATATCAGGCTTAAAGACGCTAAATTTACACCACTTATCACACAATGATGTCTGAAGTGCAGAGCAAACATTAAGTGAATCCACCTTTATAGATATGGCTTAAAAGCTTCTTGGACTGACAAACCATAAAGCAGCTTGATTTTATTATTCCTTTCCCCTCTGAGATTTTTTCTATAACAAGGCTATCTTTCTCTATTTGCCAATGTACAGAGAAGTGAGCCCTCTCACGGTCTCATTTCCCTAATACCAACACTGTGCGGGCCAAGCGCATCCCCACAAAGGCGTCCCAGAGTCTCACAGATTGAAAACACTTCACAGATCCCCCACGCTAAGGGTCTCTGAGAAATAGCTGATTATTGTGGGAAACAAAAAGTTTGTCTGAAGGGGACCTGGAAAAAACTGGAGCTAAAGGTGGCTGGATCCAGACAGTGTATTTATTCTGTTCTCCAAATGATGCTTCCTTAAGAAGCCCTGATTGACCTAGGAGGTCCCAAAGAGAGTGGTATTAGACCTCATAAAAACTGCAGAGTTCTAAAGCAGTGTTCAAAAGACACATCTATGGGGCACTCTTAACAAAACAAGAACAGCTCACAATATTAAATCACAAAGATGAAAGATGGGTGCAGAATTTGGCACACAAAAGGTACTGGATGTTGATGGATTACAAGACTGATAAACTGATTACTTTCGAATGCCAGGCTGAAAGAGTCTGAATTTTAACATTACAGTAGCATTCTGCCCAGGAGTTAGGATTCTTCAAAGAGCAGTGGAAAAGGCCAGGATAACAAGGGCTGCCCAGGAGATGAAAGAACAAAACAAGGAAAGAATAAAGAATTAAAGTATTAAAAAAAAAAAAAAAGGTGGAAAAGAATGATGTGAAAAGAATTTGACAGCAGAGGCAGGACCTAAAATGGGTCCCCAAGAATCTGGATTAGCCATGGGGATGTTTACAAAGTGCAGTAATGTCAAATGCTGAAGTTCACATTAGAAAACCACTCACCTTCGATAAAAACATTTACATCAAGTTGACCTCACGTCTTTTTCTATTTTTTTCATTCAGTTGGTTTACACAAAACTTTCCTCAAATCTTTTCACTTCCTCTGTGTAGAATCCTAACAGTATGAATTTAAAAGGAAGGATGAGAATATGTCACTCCCTGCTTCAACCCTTCCAGAGTGTCCCATTGCTCTTATAAGACATGCACACTCACTATCACGGCTCCAGGGATTTCCCACTGAGGTTGGTGCCCTGCAAAGACACAAGCCTGCTTTCCATTCAGGCAGCATGCTCAGTTCCTTTCTCTTTCACGCACTGTTCCCTCCAGCAGGAACATCCCCAGATCTTCCAGTGGCCGGCTACCTCCTTGCCATACTGAGATCTCAACTCACCCAGCACCTCCTCAGAGACTCCCGACGGCCCTAGCTAAAACAGCCTGGCCACAGCCTGGATCACACAGCTTGGTCCTACTGTCTTTATAGCACTCATCATGATAAAAAATGATCGTGCTTTTTCAAATATTTTGTACTGTCAGCCATCCCCTCCCCCCAACAGAAAGGAAGCTCCAGGAGAAGGGAGAAACACCTGGCCAGTGGGCATCATCTGTGGGGAAAAAGGGAGGAATCCGCATCCAGTTTTCTCAGTAAAAGAGAAACACTGCTCAAAGCTTCTCCAGGAAGACATCTTTTGCCCAGTAAAGCATCTTTTAATCTGATGTAGGTTAATTCATTTACATTTAGGTGTTCCTCACCCATAAAACTAGGATAACACCAAACAATAGTCAAAATTATTGGCATATACTCTATGCCAAGCACTGTGCTGAGCGGTTTACCTGCCATTGGCTTAGTTTACTCTCCCATCTGCCTTAGAGGATTATCTTTTTTTTTTTTGGATGAGATCTGAGGTTCAGAAAAATTAAGCACCTGGACAAAAATCACACAATAACTAACAAGCAAAGAGTCTTGATTTGACCCAAAGCAATCAGGACTGAGAGTCCAGGGTCCAGGATGTTTCCGCACAAGGGGGCAGGAGGCGTAAATGAGACTGCATATGTGAAGTGCCTATTATAACGCTG